GCCAGGAGTTTTAAATGACACTAGTTGCAGTCGACTTTAGATGTGGATTTCAGAGCCTTCAACGCATTCCTTCTGTGAATCTGTCAGGAGCCACACGTGGCCATCGTAGGTGCCGAGTCATCCCAGCCACCACGACATTCCCCTGAGGAATTCCTGCCTTCGCTGGGCGGAAGTGTGCTGGGGTCCACAGGCAGACAGGGCAGAGGGCTGACTGCTGTTTGCTGGTTAAAATACTTTTCAAACTGAACACATTTGTACCTGCTTGTTCACGACCAGCAGGGCAGATGGGTTCTTCTCTCCCATCCATAATAAAGCTCTGATTAGGAAGGACAGCGGGAGAGCTTTTCTTTCGGGGGCTTGGAAATCTCTCCCACCTTCAGGTGGTGGAGGGGAGAGGGAGGGTTCATGGAGCAGGGTGTCCGTCTGTTCTAGAAGGAGATTGAACTCAACAGTCAAGAAGTCTGAGGCCAGGGGGAGCCACCTAATAGTGTCCCACAGAAGCCCAGCCTGGTCTCTGTCCTGGAGAACTCAGGGGGCCTGGCTCCCAGGCAGCACCAGGCCTGAGCCCCCTCCTGTGGGCTGCACGGCCTGTCACCGGTTCCGTCCTCAGGAATCTGGAGAGGAGGTGTCCCCTGGAGGCACACCAGTCACAGTGTCTGAGGAGTGGCAGCCTTTCCCACATCAGGGAGCTGTCTGAACGTCTTCCTCTGTATGATAGGGACAGAGGTGCTTCCTTGGTGGGCTTTTGGCCCAGGCGTGGCACCTGGAGCACCCGTAAGTGGGAGCTGTGCTTACTGTTAGGAAGAGTGACGTGGTTTGTTCCACCATCACCCAAAGGAAACAGTCAGGGGACAGCGCAGAGATGTATTGACTAGGGACTGCGTCACAGAGCTGTTTGTAATAGCAAAACAGGAGGTGAGAAGACAAGCTAACTTCCACAATTCACTTAAAATCATGATGGAGAGTACTGTTCACTGACATGGGAAAAGTCCATGGTAGATGGTTGAATGAAAAAGTCCATGAGAGATAGTTAACATGAGTGCCATTAAGAATACAAGTGTGATACCATAGAAACAGGAAACGCCTGGGGGGGCTGTTTTGTTTTTTTTTTTTTTTTTTTTTTTGAGGGGGTATTGTGGATCGAATCCAAGGGTGCTTAACCACTAAGTCACATCCCCGGCCCTTTTTTAACATTTTATTTTGAGACAGGGTCTCACTAGGTTGCTCAGGTCCTTGCTAAATGAGGCTGGCCTCAAACTTGCAATCCTCCTGCCTCAGCCTCCAGAGCCACTGGGATTACAGGCGCCTGCCACTGCACCCAGCTATGTGCCAAATTTTTAAACAGTGCTTTTTTCCTTAGGAAGATGTTTAAAAAAAAAAGTCTTTTTTTTTTTCTTAGTTGTTTCTTAAATGTTTTTCTACAGTGAACCTGTATTTCTTTTTGTCAGTAAGGAAGGCCACCCTGGTATTTTCAGGGGAAGGAGAACTCTGGAGGTTGGTGATTTTCGGCAGCCCGTGTTCTGTCTCTCACCCGCCCCCTGCCCTGCTTGACTTGCAGGTGAGGAACAACTGCAGACATCACTTCCTTTCTTCCAAAGCTCTCAAGTGTGCGTATGACCTGGTGACCTGGGCTGTCACTCAGCTGGCCGTCTCCTACACGGTGGCGCCGTTCGTCATGCTGGCCGCGGAGCCTGCCCTCAGCTTGTACAGGTGGGTTCCCTGCCCGCTGCTGCCGCTCTGTGGTCTCTGGTGGGTCCCATCAGCATAGTGAGACTGGACCAAGAATTCCCAAATGGGACCGCGAGAGGAGGCGCCTGCCCCAGGACCCCAACACAGACATCAGCACCTGCGGGGAGGTTCCAGGGAGCGCCTCAGTGTCCTGGTGCCGGTAAGGGGCGCTCCAGGCAGTAAGGTGCTGAAGGTTAGAGATGCTGCCTCCGCTGCTCTCCCTGGCCACAGTGGGGGTCAGAGGGCCGGGGCTGGGCTCAGGTGGGCTCGTTTGCATGGTCTGTAGCAGCGCTCTGTGTCCTTCATGAGGTGCTGACTCTGCGGGGTGTGCACGGGGGTTTGTTCTCCTGATGCACATGGTAGAGAGGGGTGTGTGGGATTTAGGGTCCAGAGGGAGGCTCCCACCAGAGGTGCGAGGGGTTCCCGAGTGAGACCCTCCTCCTCCATACCTGCGCTGCCAATGCACTGCTGACCTGCAGTTGCTTCCTTTTCTTGTTTTACACTGCTGTTTGATCTGTTGTGTTTTCCCACTACTGTGAAATGGTTGGGCACAGAGCCTCAGAAACTTCCTGTGTCGCCTCACCGTGAAAGGAGGCTAAGAGTAGAATCCACCGCAAGTGTAGTGGTTGGGACTGTCCTTGGAATTGAAGGAGGAGGGTTTGCAGAGGGCCCAGGCCAGGACCTATGGCCTGAATTCAGTAAATGTAGCTTCATTACCTGATGAGCAGCACAGGCTTTTCCAGGTTCTGTTTTGAACATAGTATGGCTACAAAGGAAATCGACTTGGAAAAAAGAGACACAGTGCAGTCCTCAGGGCTCAGGAAATGACACCTCAAGTTTTGATGCCTTGTCATGCAGAATGCTTTGAACTAAAGGAGGGCCAAGGTCTCTCCTCGCCTCTCTACCCAGCCCCAGTCTCTTGCCCTTATTTTTCCTCCCAAAGTGCAAGAAGGGGCTTTCTCTGAAATTCTCCTATTTATGTAAAGGCTGGACTCTAAAGAAGAAATAATTTGCAAGAAAAATTGACATGCATCCAACACCCCGGCAGCCTTTGTCCCAGGTGGTTGCCTGTCATTCCGGCCTGTTCTCCCCTAAGTCATTTGTTCTCCCTCTGGAGCTGCCCACAGCTTCACCCTTCCCTCCCCGGTGAGAGGCTGTTTAAGCTTCAGCCATCTGGCCCTTGACATTCTTCACGGGACCCCATGCACAGTGCACATGATAAATCTCTACCCCTTTCTCCTGTTCATCTGTCTGCCTGTTTTCCGTTTGTTTCCGCAGACCCAGATCCTGCTTAAACACACCTTATTTGTGAGCTGAGGATTCCCCGGACTGGTTAGGAATGGATTGGAACTTTTCCTGTCCACTATGTGTATCGGTATCCATAAGTAAGAGGATTTTCTTAAGATTATAGGAAAAGAAGGTGGAGGGAACTGTACACACTCATCAATGAGGTCTGTTCGGCTACGTGTGTTTCCACGGTATATTAGGTGATGAGCAGTCACACCGGGGTGACGTGACGTGGAAGTCGTGCTGGTCATGCACCGTGTTCCCGGGATGCCAGGAGAGCAGGAAAGTTACCATCTCTGCAAACCGGAGCCCTCAGTTCAGCCGCTGCAGCAGGAGGAGCCTCTTTGCTCTGTACTAGGAAACTTGACTTGAGCACCCCTCCCCGGGCTCCCCGGAGACCACGCCCCCAGGCTCCCCGGAGGCCACGCCCCCAGGCTCCCCGGAGGCCACGCCTCCAGGCTCCCCTGGAGACCACGCCCACAGGCTCCCCCGGAGACCACGCCCCCAGGCTCCCCGGAGGCCACGCCCCCAGGCTCCCCCAGAGACCATGCCCTCTGCCCTCTGCTGGCTGGAGCCCCTGTGCCTTCCTTGGGGCCGCCCCCTGTCCAGCCTCCTTTCCACGTCCTTATGTCAGGGCCCTGGATCAAGCAGGCATTCTTCCCTTTGCCTTTGCATTGTTAGTTCCCTCCGGCAAGGTCTTCAGCCGCGGGAGCTCTCGGCCTGGGCTGTCCAGATGTCGCCATGGGTGTGGGTCTGTGGGTCTGTCCTGCTTGGCCTCCTGGTCCCCGAATCTCCCAGGTGTGGAGCTGTCTGCCTCTAGGACAGGACCCCCTGCCCCCAGAAGCCCCCGAATTCTAATCTAATCCGGAATGTATTTGTCATGTTGCAAAACTGTGTGTGTCCCACCGAGTCCATTGGATCCCTACCACGCGCTGGACGTTGCGCAGTGGACAGGTCATTCGTGCTCCCACGGAGGTGACGGCCCGATGGGAGAGAGAGATAAGGGTGACAAATTATAAACACACCCTGAGACAAAAGATTCAGGAGTCTATCTACAGGAATCTGACCCTCCCTGGGGCAGAGGGCAGCTCTGGGCGGAAGTGGCCTTTCAGCTGGGCCCTGGGGGCCTGAGGCAGGGCTCTGGGCTGTGCTTCTGGAATGGGAACGGCATGGAGAGGCCCCTGGGGAAGGAGGAAGCTTCAGATCTTGAAGTCCTGAGAAACAGGGATGTGCACAGATCAGTAAAGTGCCCAGCGGTGGCTGGGAGAGAGGGGGATAGGCTAGCAGTCTCCCCCTTCATCCCGTGAGGAAGTGGAGACCCAGAGAGGGTGCGTGCAATAAAACTCACACAGCAACCCAGAATCAGCTCTGCGTTTCAGACTCAAAGTTCCTTTAATGGCAAGATCAGCAGTGTAATCACTAAAAATTTGTTGAGGAGAAGCTATTTTGGAAGCAAATTGCTGCTTGCAGATCAAAGTAAGTTAAGACATGTTTATGATAACATGCATTTAACCAACTAAAGCGCGTGCTAATTCCGGCACTTAGGTGGAATCAAATTGTTGTCAAGCAGCTTTCCATTGCTTTAAAAAAATAATCTAACATGCGTTTTTAAACACCTTTGTTGAAGATAAAACAAAATATTTTTCCAAATTGGTCCATTAGAGTTGATGTGACCTAAAGTTATCTGGCATGTAGGATAATACGTGTAATCCATACTCTATGTGTAAGCTCCCTGTCTGCATCAGCCCAGCCCAACAGAAGCGTCTGTGGTGGATGACATGTTCTTTTCTCTGGGCATTAGATGGCCCATGTATTAGCCAGGAGCATGTGTGACCACTGGGCATTTGGAATGGGGCTAATGACTGAGGAACGGAGCCTTCAATCCCATTTAATTTTAACAGCCACCTGAGTACCCATGGCCATTGGAGATTGATTGCACCTCCAATGTGCTTTCAGAATCTCTTGAGAACCTCTGAATCTGATGAAAGAGTCAAAACCACCAGCCATTCAGTGGAGTGAGCCTCGGTTGCTTTCTGGATCTGCACCTCACTGGGGCTCCCGCTGTCACAGGCCACCAAAGATAGCTGTCGGCAAACCGGTTTGTCAGCATGCCCTGCGTTGCTCAGCCTTCAGGCCCCTCCTGTGCTTTGTGTTTGTGTCTGGTCCACTTTCAGTCCAGAGTGTCCTCAAATTACAGCTTTAAATCTCTCAACACTTTTCCTTTGAATTGTCAGTGAGTCTCATGAACCCTTGACTGTATTATTATTAATATTATTATTATTTTTTTACTGGAGATTGAACCCAGGGGGGCTTAACCACTGAGCCACACCCCCAGCCCTTTTCTGTATTTTATTTTGAGATAGGGTCTTACTAGGTTGCTTAGGGCCTCGCTAAGTTGCTGAGGCTGGCTTTGAATTCACGATCCTCCTGCCTCAGCCTCCCAAGCCGATGGAGTTATGGGTGTGCACCGCTGCACCTGGCCACTTGACTGTATTATGAAAGAAACTTTCTGTGAAACCATTTTGAAAATCCGAATCCTCATACATTGATTTGTCTTTAATTAGATAACGCTTTCTTAAATTCAGCATGCAGGAATGTGGGAAGAAATTTTGCAGATGGCAGACTCCTTGAGGGCAAAAATTGTGCCTTATTCACTTTTGTATCTGGAGGATTTGGGTCAGCACCTTGGCCTGCTCAGGAAATGTTGAGCTGAGTTTTTCCTTAATAAAAAGATGAAATAGTCTTTCATTTTTAATTAATAAGATTATAAAGTATAGGATACATCTTATTCTCATTAGGACCCCAATCTTTATAGTCCTAGAAAAATATGGAATCTCAGAATAGGTTACTAAACCTCTCTAGGGAATTAAAATTTTGTTTCCCTTGATTGCCAAAGTATTTGGATTTATTTAATTAATTATATTTGCAGTACTAGGGATTGAACTCAGGAGTACTATATCACTGAGCCACATCCCCAGCCCTTTTTTATTTATTTTATTTATTTCACTAAGTTGCTAAGGCTGGTCTCAAACTAGCAATCCTACTGCCTCAGCCTCCCAAATTGCTGGGATTGCAGGCATGCACCACCATGCCTGGCTGCTGTTTGGATTTAATCTAATATAGTTGCTACCATGCCGATTTGGCCATGTATAAAAGATTAATGCAAAACACCCGGACAAAGTGTATTTTAGGTGTGTAGACTTGGAAAGCCGTAGTTACCTATGGCTAGAGCACATTTTGAGAAAACCTCAGTGTATATGTGTTAACCAGCATGTTTATCTGTGGAGCCCTTTTTTACCCTCAATAATGTTCTTAGAAGTAAATTAGATGATTAATTGCTGTACCTATTCACCCTTTGCTTCTGGTTAGGTGAGCATTAATCCTGTCCAGTCGGTCCTCTGTATCGATGGGTTCGGTAGCCATGGATTCAACCAACCGTGGATGGAAAATAGGAAGAAAAAAATTGCTTCTGTCCTGAATGAATACAGACTTCTACTCTTGTCGTTACTCCCTAAATGATGTAGTGTAACAACTGTTTGCATAGCACTTACACTGTGTAAGGTATTATAGGTAATCCAGAGATGACTGAAGTACTTTAAAGTACTCCAGAGTATGTGCGTATGTTCTATGCAAAGGCTGTACTATTTCATGTAAGGTGCAGTACCTTTGGGGAGTCCTAGAACCCATTCCCATGATTCCACAGAAGGATTGTTATCTTGTTATCATTGTCCCAAGAGAGGGGGTGGAGACTTATGTCTTTTTGTAGATCCTAGTTTAATGCTTTACACTTTTCTTTTTCTTTTTTTTGGTGTGGTCCTGGGGATTGAACCTGGGGTGCTTCCTCATTGAGCTACCTTACCAGCCCCACCCCTCCTTTCTTTAAAAAATGTTTATTTTGAGACAGCCTCTTACTGATTTGCTTGGGCCTTGCTGAATTGCTGCGGCTGGCCTTGAACTTGCCATGCTCCTTCCTCAGCCTTCTGAGCTGCTGGGATTATGCACCATCGTGCCTGGCTAATGCTTCATCATCTGAAGCAATAAATGTTTATTGAAACATTAAATGAATGAAAATCTATTCCTGCTCTTGACTCTTCTGCAGACCACTGTAGGGAGACTCCTCCTGCTGAAGGAGGAGGCAGCTGAGAGCATTTCCTGGTACTCCTGTGCCTAACCTTCTACTTAAAGCTGAAGAATGATGCTTAAGTCATTGTGTTTCCCCCTTCCTCTCACACTATTTCTCTTGAATCTTAAGACGGTATTGGAGAGCTGGGCACGGTGGCACATGCCTATAATCTCAGTGACTTTGTAGTCCAAGGCAGGAGGATTTTGAGTTCAGAGCCAGCCTCGGCGACTTGTCGAGCCCTAAGCAACTTAGTAAGACCCTGTTTCAGAATTTAAAAATAATGTGGCTAAGTGGTTAAGCGCCCCCAGGTTCAATCCCTGGTACCAACACCCCCCCCACCCCCACCCGCCTTTTCTCTTGGAGAAAGCACCCTTTCCAGCATCCAGATGGATCCGGAACAGTTCTGCTAATGTGGGCTGTTTCTAAGTACACACATTTATTGATAGGCCGTGCCCAATAAATATCAGCATCTACATCGTGCACACTGCTGAAGGATGTGTGTGTGTTTTTTTTTTTTAATGAAAGTCAGAGCTCAAGCATAATACTTGTTTCTTATTAGTTTGGATGGAACTTATTTTCAGGATTATAGACCAGTTTTCAAAATCAGAATCCTTCATGAGATACACAAGAAGAACCCCTCACACTTAGGAAGGACATACAGGGGAAAGTATTTATTTGTGTTGAGTACTGGGTTGGAGTTGGTTCTTGTGCATTTTGAATGTTGAAGATTTCTGGCTTATGGAGCGACTTTTCTTAGTCTGCTTGTTATGTTCCTGGAGCAGTAGGACGCTTGTCTGCAGATGGCTGGTTGGTTCTCTCCGCACAGCCCTGAGGGACGGTCGGGGCCAGCCTGAGTGGGAGCCTCCTTGGCACCTCTAAAACAGTGTCTCCACTTGCCTACTGAAGATGTGGTGCTCAGGAGATATTTCCCGTGTAGGTCCTTTGAAGTATAACTTTTTTTTTTTTATTCCTAGGTCCATGTACTTTTACTTACACATCATAAGTCTCCTGATCATACTTTTTCTGCCAATCAAACCACAAGCTCATCTTCAAAGGCAGCCTCAGACCGCAAATTCTGTTAATAAGAAGAAAACAGACTGATACCTCCAAGAAAGCCGAACAAGTAAAATTGCAAGACACTGGAGAGACCAGGAAAGGGCTCGAAGGCTCTCCAGTGACTTAGAGGCCATGTTTACATGCTTTTTGTTTGTTTGTTTGTTTTAACTGCAGGGAGTATTTTTATGAAGCCTTTTGGTACAGTTACATTGGCCATGTGCAGTCTATTTGTTTTAACAGTTTCTAGGACCTGTCAGTGGCTGGAGGTGGGGACACAGTCCGCCTGGGCTGCCGGGTCTTGGCCTTACTGACGGGTTTTCATCCGCTGGACTCTGGGTGCCGCAGGCTGGGCATTGGCTCCGGAAGTTAGAAGGTGATTGCTGAGACGTGTCACAGACCTGGCGGTTCCTCGAAAGCTCCAACCCCTTTGATGTGTGACCTTATTGGTTTGTGGGTACGGTGACTGCACTCAGAAGGCCCTGGAGGAGGGGGATCATGGAGGACTGCCCCTGAAAACTTGAATGAACTCATGTGCCCTCAGAGAGGCTGCATTTCCCCCAGGAATGTAACCCTTTCCCTGCGTTTTTTCTGAACTGAGCCAAGATAGGAAATGAGTACCTCTCCCATGAGTGCCCAGAGCCGCAGAGGGGGCTGCCATTTCCGTTTCCCAGGCACCGGCTTCAAGATGGCCCCAGGAGACACCGAGACCCCCGTCCCAGGCAGCAGAATGCCCTCTGAAGCAATAATCCCTTTAAAACAAAACTGAAAGTCACATAGAAGTTTGGTAAGAAGCAGAAGATGATTCCCTCGCTCCCCTCTTTTCATGGAGGTGTTAATGATGGTGGCCGCAACGTACACACAGGCTGATTTTCCATTTTTCCATTTTGGTAGCTGATTAAATCCAGCTTTGTTGAAGTTGACTTATCATATATTGGAAAGCAGAAATTTAAAGTCAGTTTTCTTTTCTATCTTTGTTATGAATGTACCGTGGCTCCTTTTGGGGACTACTATTGGGTGGTGTTCTCTGTGGGAGAAGAAAACATGCTATTAGATATTGTGGAAAATAATGAAGATAATGATGAAATATATGCTGCAATGATGTGCCTTCAATCAAACAGCTTGGGGGGAGAAAATTTGTTCCAATGAGATGGTAAAAGTTAGTTTCTCACTGAATAAATACTATGTTTCTGTATAAAGAAAATGTTTCCGAATGTAAGCTTTACTTTTTGCTTCGAAATAACCGATATTCAGGAGTGTGTGTGTGTGTGTGTGTTAATAAATGGGCACAAAGTTTTATTGTTTTGTAGGACCTTTCAGCAGTGGGGCTTTATTTCCCTAAAATGTGGGCATTGCGGCATGCTCAGTTTTACTCTACATGTCAGGCACTTGGATGGTTTTTCTTTTCAGTCTGATTTGTGGTCTTGATTCCCAGTTTTGCAGGTTAATTTCCTCTGTAGAGGAGGAAGCTGATAACTGGACATTTGCTAAGTGCCAGGGCTAGTGGTAGAGCTGACCTGTGGTTGCTGGCCCATCTCGTGACAGCCGGTGGCCGTGGGTCTTTCCACGCGGTGTCCTGCGGCTGCTTCTCTGAGGACCGTGGATCCTGGAAGTGACGAACTCATCCTTTCAGTGCATTTTCCCGATCCTGGTGCTGGGGGAGGGGACATCGTCCTTCCTCTGCAGCCGTGGGGCGTTGGTCTCAGGACCCTTCAGATCCAAAGTCCAGGGACCCCTAAGTCCCTTTAAGAATTAAATTGTTTAATAATAATAATAAGTGTTAAGCACAGACACCCTTCCCCACCAATATTTTCAGTTGGTGGAAGCCAAACCAGCAGAGGAGAGTGGTGGTGGGGCAGGGGTGCAGAAGCGGTCGGAGGCCGAGGGAAGCGGAGACCGGGCGGCATTGGAAGCTGGAGGAGGTAGAACAGCAGGTGAGAAGCCAGGGGACAGGAGAGGCCCACGTCAGGAGTGCGTGTGTGCCAGGGCAGGAGGCTCCCGGGGCCACCCTACTCCACAGTGTGATCCAGGAGGATCCCAGGCAGGCCAGGGATGTAGGTGCCTAGAATCGATCAGTCTTTCCAACACAAAGACCTTGAGGTGCAAGACCAGGCAACATGCGCATCTTGCCCACTAGTGAGAAGGGTCCAAGTCACCATGGGCAGGACACGTGTGCATACTCCAGAGGAGTCTCTGAGCTCGCCGGGTGATTTCTGGCTGTATGGTTTATGGTCAGGTGTCACTGTGCGTGAGTATCTTCATTTCTGGGAGAAGAACTTTGGTAATGAGAAGAGAGGTGGCCAAGGGTGGCCAGCTTCTCAGTGTGACTCTAGTAGGTACTGAAAGCACAGTGCAGAGACAATAGACTCCTGCCCGTTTTCTCTTGAGGAATGTTTACCCATAAGAAAAGTGTTCCAACTGAGGGTCAGAGTTCGAAGAGGTTGGGTCTGGTTTTTTTGCCTTAGATTTCTATGTTGACCCAAATGTAATGTGCACTTAATCAAAATGTGTTGGATTGGGGAGTTTCAGTGGAAAAGAAATACCTTTTCTGTTTTTTTTAAAGCCCAATCTGAAGTGCTCTATTTTAATGCGAGTGTGTGTGTGCGTGTGCGCGCGTGTGCCCCGCCCTCCCTGCTCCATAAGGAGCAAGAATATTATTCAGTAATTGCAAAAAGCAGTAGATATTTCTGTTTGAGAATTTGACTGGTTAAGGGAGGAAAAGGCAGGAAGAATCGAGTAGGTCAAGAAGAGAGGAATTAGCAGGTGGTGCCCCGGAATTGGAGGGCTGCTTGGCCACCATTACTGAAGGTTCAGTCAAGGAGTGGCTGGTCCCCCTGGTCTTTCTGGACTCCTCACATTGGAACCACAGCCAAGGTTAAAAACGTCGGTCACAGTGTGGTTGCTCCAGGGGCTGCGCCTCCTCTCTCCCCTGGCACGCAGTGTGGTGCCTGTCACATAATGAAGATTCAGTAAGTGTTTGTCGATTGAATGAGGGAGTGAGGGGATTCGTTCAATGCATCATTGCACTTGACAGCTTTGATTGAGCTGCTTCTGCACTGGGAAACATCATTTCTGCTTTCCAGAATTAGGGTTTGAAATAAAAGCTTGTGTTTTCAGGGAATTCTGTAAGCAAGTTATGTGAAATCATCACTCAGGCAGCCCGGTTGACACAGCCTGAACCTGCTTGGTTAGTCCATCCGTTAATTAATGCATCTGCTTATTTATCAGATGTGTCAGGCCTGGTAGGGGATTGGCACTCTGCTATGCACTGCAAGTAAAAGATGCTGAAGACCCCATCTCTGCCCAAGACATGGTCAAGGTAGGCTCAGAAAGATGCCGTCCAGAGCTGGGTGCTACAGGAGCAAGCAGAAAAGGGAGAGTGATTGGCCTTATCCTCATCTTCCGCCAAGTGCAGAGCATCCACATCTCACAGTGCTCAAAGGTGACGCGGTGCGGGAGCACCACGGCTCTCTGTGCTCTATCCAGGTGAAGTGAGCCTTGCCCTGACCCTGAAGTTGCCCACTGACCTTGAACATGCCCATGCCTGTCAGTGCCGTAGCTGCCAGAGGAGTGGTTTGTGCTTTCACGGTTGCCCATGGAGGTAATGTCCAGGCTCAGCAGATGCCTTCATGAAGCCAGGCAGGAAAGACGTTCTCTAGAAAAGTCCCAGCCCACGTGAGCTTTGTCTCGTTCCCTAAACTTGGTTAAGGCTACCTACTATATGCTGAGAGGAAGAGAAGCAGCATTCATTGACAGCTATTTTCATTTTTAGTACCTAATCCAGTTCTGGGAACTTGGCAGTGTTTTCTGCTCTTTGCAGAAATGGAAACCAAGCCGTGGTGGCCGGAAGTAACAGGTGTTGAAGGATGAACTGACAACAAATTTAGTTCCAGCTCTAACTGGGTCTTTCCTTTTCCTGATTCATTCACTGAAACAGCCTCTATTCTATGACATACAAGGGGAGCTCCCAGTGGGCAGTGGGCGACAGTGAGTTTGTCATTTGGAAACAAGGGAACAGTAGAAAAATAGCTGAGTGGGTAGCATCAGGTTATTCGGGTTATTTTTTTGTGTGTGTGTGTTCTGTAAGGGATAAAGAAGAGGGACTTCAGATTACACGAAACCAGGTGCAGTGACACCTCCTGTAGTCAGGAAAGCCTGGCTGTGTGGATCTCACCCTGCCTCCTCAGCACGAGTGGCACCACTCAGGCTTGGTCAGGTCTACTGGGGCTTGATGCTGGAGCCAGACCCCAAATAGAGGCCTCCCATAAACTCTGTTGAACACAGGTAACGTGCCTGAGGTTGCACAGCTGGTCTGTTGGGGAGCCGGGCTTGAGTCTGGGGTGGCTGACTCTGAGGTCCATCTCACTCTCCGTTGCAGAAGCACCTTGGTTTTCAGAGAGACAAGGTTTTAGAGTGAAAGTAACTCGAGCCTCACCTGGTCTAGGTTTCCAGAGGCCGACTGGCTGGCCCTACCCGGGGAGCTTCCTGAGCATGCAAGGAGAGGGGCAATAGGAAGGGGGCCAGGTGGATAGCTGGGCCTCCCTTTCCCTGGTGAGGTGGAGTCAAGCCAAATTGTTCGATTATGGTGAAGAAATGGCCTTTTGGACCTTCTACCATTGATTTTTGCCGCAGTCTGGCTGGGCACAAATCACGAGCCACTGAAGCAGGAACAAACTTTATTTCTGAACTCCACCAGCACACTCCACACACGCTCCCCGGGAACTCTCCCGAATGCCACCCACGCGGCTCCTCCAGGAACCACCAACCGGAAATCCCTCCTCCGGCGCTTCCCCAACCAATGGGAACTCTCCGGGAATCCCGCTCCAAAGTAGCGGGCTGAGTCGGACAGTAAAGGTCTAATATACAATTGAATCAACCCAGCATCATCTTAATGGCTTGCCTCTCAACCAATACTATTGGCAAAATGCCAGGGGCCATTCCTACTCGGCTGTGGCTCTCAGCAGATTTTATTAATAAACGGACTTTTATTTAGTATTGACATATTTTGAGATATGCAAAGGTTGTCTGAGACTTGGGGTGGCCCCTGTATGCTGTGAGGACCCTGCTTCATTGCCAGAGAAATCAAGGGAACTTTGGTGAATTAAGGCATAGACAACTCAGGAGCCAAATAAGAGATGACAGAAATGTAGGCCTGAGAAGAAGGAGAATTGTCAGTGGGTAGACAGGTCAGGGTGGCCTTTAAGAACAGGAAGGTGTTTAACTGCTGATTGTCATATAATTTTCTCTCTTGGCTACAAAGACTTCTTTAATTTTTATTTTTGCAGTGCTGGGAATTGAACCCAGGGCCTTGTGCACACTAGGCAAGTACTCTATCCCCAGAGTCTTAGAAAGGGCATACTTGATTCCAGTTTTGCTTACTGTTAAGAGAAAAGAAAACAAACTGAATAAGACAGAAAATTCAGTAGGAGCTACAGATTTTAACAAAATCTGTGCTGACTAAGCTTCCTGTGAGAATTCCCACATATACTAGCTGTGCTGGTCAGCTTTCCACAGCTATGACAAAGCACCTGAGAAAATCAGCTTAAAGAAGAAAGGTTCATTTTGGCTCATGGTTTAAGTCCTCCAATGCAGTCACAGGTTGCACCTGCCTCCCTGTGCACTGGTCTGGAGGAGTCACCAGCTGCCAGGCAAGATTCTGCCTGGTCACCTGTCACGTTGTCCCTGCCATCTCCACACTGCTGCTGGGGACTTCCTGGACAGCTCATCTGGCCCTTGCTCTTCATGAAACCTCCTGTTAGCTCCTGCTCTCTGCGGCATGACACCCATACCTTCCCTCTCCCCAGCCTGGGTGTGCCCCTTGCTTCAGGCCAGTGTCTGCCCCAGTGGTAAAGCACCTCTCCAGCAGAGAGCTGTTTCACTTAGTTCTTCATTCTGCTGCCCAGATAAACTCCCCCACTTCCTTCCTTCATAACTTCCCTCCTTCCTTCCCTAGAAATTTAACTCAGAGGCGCTTAACCACTGAGCCACCTTGCTAACCCCCCTCACTTTTTAATTTGAGACAGGGTCTCACCAAATTGCTTAGAGGCTTGCTAAGTTCTGAGGCTGGCCTTGAACTTGTGATCCTCCTGCCTCAGCCTCCTGAGTTGCTGGGATGACAGAGTTGCACCACACCTGGCTAAGCCCTGTGTTTTCTGAGCAGGCACTTACCACGGCAAAAAGAGCTCAAAGCTGGGCCATATTCAAGGGA